AGGGGAGAGCGCTGCTGGCACTCAGGTCTTTGCTTGTGGATTTCCCATGGGCATCTGGTTGGGCACACTGAGAACAGGATGCCGGACTAGATGGGCCTTTGGCTTGATGCAGCTGGGCTCTTCTGACATTCACAGAGAGCCAGTGTGGTGTAGTGGTTAAGAGAGGTGGACTTATAATCTGGTGAACCGGGTTTGAGCCTCTGCTCCTCCACATGCAGCTGCTGGGTGACCCTGGGCCAGTCACACTTCTTTGAAGTCTCTCAGCCCCACTCACCTCACAGAGTGTTTGTTGTGGGGGAGGAAGGGAAAGGAGAATGTTAGCCGCTTTGAGACTCCTTCGGGTAGTGATAAAGCGGGATATCAAATCCAAACTCTTCTTCTTTTTCTTCACAGAAGGAGCCAGTTGGTACCCCTGTTCTCTCCCTCCTCCCATCCCACAAAGTGTATGGCATTTTAACATTACACTGAAAGTGAGGGCTGAGCTGGTGCGGCGGCAGCAGGAGGCCCCATTAGCTAAAGCGGTACCTCAGGTTAAGAACAGTTTCAGGTTAAGAACAAACCTCCGGAACGAATTAAGCTCTTAACCTGAGGTACCACTGTATAATGTGAGTGGGCATTATGATCTTGGAAGACGTTCATGAGGGCCAGTTCTGGGGTGAGTCCTAGTACCTGTTTAGTTATTTTGTGTATCTCTTATAGGACTGCTGTCCAGAAGGGTTGAATTTTAGGGCATTCCCACCACATGTGGAGGTATGTGCCTGTGGAGGTGCAGACTCTCTAACATCTTGGTGAGGTTCCTGGGTGTATCAGTGCCAGTTTCCATGGTGTTAAGTACCACCTGTAGGTGAGTTTCAGAGTGAGTTCCCTTCTTTTGGTTAATACAGACTTAAATGGAGGTTTAGACCACATTCTAGTCCATTGAGGGGGGTTAATTGCAAAGCCTATGTCGTGCTCCCATTGTTCTTTGATTGTGTCAAAGGGGTTTGTGGGATTTTGGAACAGTATTTTGTATATTGTGGATACCATCTCTTTACCGTGTCCCTTTGCTGTCAGGAAAAGGTTTTCAAGGTGGACAAGGGCCTAGTGGCTGCTGATTTTACTGCTGGATTGTTTAAGAAGGCATGTAGTTGAATGGTGTGTTAGCCAAGGTATTTGGGTGTCCCCTAGTTTGTCTTGTATTTCTTGTTTTGGTATAGTGTGGGTTTGTTGTTTTTGTAGAAGTCTTTTAGACAGTGTAGGCCTTTGGCTTGCCAGGTTTTTACCTGGAGATTTTGTGCTGCGTGTTGGAATAGTGGGTGACAGACCGGGGGGGTTAGCGGGGAGGGGGATAGTTTGCCTACTTTTCCCTTCTGTGTGAACCTGTTCAGTGTTGTGGGGATTTACTTTAGTTTGTTTTGGAGAAATGGGTGTGCTGTTGAGGGGATGCTTTTGATGGTTTCTCTCTCCCAGTGGACCCATTGTTTCATCTCATCTTCTCGAGCATACGGAATTATGTGGCGTACTTGGTTGGCGATGTCATATGATTCTATGTTGAGGATTCCCCATCCTCCTCCTGAGGAGGGGAGGTGCTGGTATTTGGGGCTTATTCTTGGCTTTTTGTGTGAGCAAATAAACAAGTATAGTTTTTTCTGCCACTTCTGGAGTTGGGTTGGGCGAATCCAGATTGGGGTTGGGAGTTTGGAATAAATAGGTTAGTTTTGGAAGGGTGATCATTTTGAACACAGCATACTTTTGTGATTATGATGATGAAATCTAATTGCATCACAAAGGGCTGCCACCTTTGGCTCTAGAAAAGGGAATAATTACATCCACAATTAATTATTTACATGACGTAGGAGGATGATTAGACAAATTCATGAAGAATAAGGCTGTTGTTGACTGTTGGCCATTATGGCCAAGCTCTGCCTCCACAGCTGGAAGCAGCAATGCTTCTGAATGCCAGTTGCTGGAAACTTCCAGAAGGGGGCGTGTTCTTGTGCTTGGATCCTTCATCTGTGTTTCCCACAGACATCTGTTGGGACACTATGAGAACAGGATTCACTGGCCTGATCCAGCAGGGTCTTATGTTTTTAGATTGGAGGACAGGTGAACATATTTGCTTGGGTGACTCCTAGATCTGTCAGTCATGGAGGAAGTTAAAAGGCTGTCCCTCAATTGGCCAATTAAGTTATCCTCACTCAAGAGCTTCAGAAGAAGGAATATGTGTCCAAAAGAGGAAATATGTGATTTAACATCAAGGGCTGATTTTACATTTGTCATTTGTATTTTCTACTAACTTCACAACATTCATGGTTAATACAGTTTGCCTCTTGCACCAAATACATTAAATATGATGTAAATGTCAAACACCCAGATACGTTCTAGAGAGGGAGCCCTGTTAGCTAGTTGCAAAAAAAAGCAAGACAGAGTTTTGTGGTACATTGACTATCACATATTATTTCATAAGTTTAGTGGGTGCTTCCAGACAGGGCTTTTTTGCCACAAAGGGAACATTCAGGTCCAGTTCTTCTGTGAGCATGACTGGCACACAATCATCCTTCCACTTTGTTTTTTCAGCCTTAGATTATTATTTTTCTCCTTAGGTATTCCACTGTTTCCCTCCGATACTAGTGGGAGGTCCTTTTCTTTCTGTGCTCAATTTTCTGGCCCTTCCCCCCAGTCATTACTCTCCCACCCTCCACTACCTATTCCTGGTCTGGGCATGCATGCAGGTAATTCTGTATCAGTGCACATAGACATTTATTTCCCACAAAAAGTTGGCAAGAGCAAATATTTCAAGCCCCTTGGCTATCATGTTTCACAATGGGCAAAATGGAATCTTGTACTTTTGTGGGAGGGGGGCAACACCCATTTCCATTGTAATAATACAGAAGTCTTGCACAAGACTGATGTTGACCGATACTGAAATCCTGATCAAAGTGCCTTGCACAAGACCTCTATATTATTTTGTTCTAAGTCTCTATGTACTGCTTTTACAGCCTCTAAGCTAATCCTCCCTGTGTGCTGAGATATTGCACGAATAGGTCCTCTGAACTGGGGCAGCATCCATAACATGCATTAAAAGTATGTTTAAAGCACACGCCTTCCTGCAAAGAACCCCGGGACCTGTAATTTGCTTAGGGTCCTGGGAATTGTAGCTCATTGAGTAAACTCCAGTTCACATGATTACTTGGGAGGTGAAACTATCACTATTAAAATTGTATAAATGTGGTTTAACTGTATGGTGCAGATGCACCTTTAGGTACCAGGTGAAAATGTTCCTATTCATCCAGGCCTTTGGCTGATTAGCATCTGATACCCTTTTAAATGTGTGTGTGTGGGGGGGAATTATTGGTTTGTTTTTGTTCATCTTCTTATATATTTTGTGTTTTTTATATTGTATTTTTGTAAACCGCCCTGAGATCTAGATGTGAAGGGTGGTATACAAATTTAATTAATAATCAATAATAATAATACCAGTAATAATAATAATAATATTGGTGTGCCTTCAGTATATGACATTTGGTGGGAATAGGCAGACTCATGTTGTTTGGGCTGCCAGAAGCACAATAGCTAAGTTGTGTGTTCACGTGAGGAATAAATGGATGCATGGGCATAGCCAAGGGGGGGGGGCAGGGGGCAGCGGCCCCCCCATCAATAAAAATAAATAAAAATACATAGCTAACTGAGGTTCTGCCACCACCGAACAAAAGACCTGCCCTCCCAACAAAAGGCCTGCCCCCCCCCCCGCAAAAAAATCCTGGCTACGCCCATGAATGGAAGTAGGGATAATGTCGCTAGGTACTGCCCATCAAAAGGTCACCACCACCCTGCAAAAATGTGATAATGAGCTTCAACAAACTAATAACTGTGGATGTATAAAGGGTTATTACTTAGCTAATTTTCCAGAGTAAGAGGAAATCTGTATGAAATGTAAAAAAAGAAGAAAAAGTAAAAGATGGCCTTCTGGTGCTGACAGTGCAAAAAACTTGTGTGCCTGAGCAGCACTGATTTCACAATTAACCTCCACCTGGAAGCACCCTCTGTTGTAACCAATGCCAGAAACTTAGAGATATCAATCACAACAGAGTTGCTGAAACCTAATGCCACAATGAATCTGTGAGTCTTGAAGATGCCAGATAGGAATTCATATCAGAAGATGAATGCAAACAAAGCAAACAAAGCAGATAGCTATGCACACCTAGAACAATCTGGATACTACAACTCAGCACAGGACCATAGCACATGTATGATTATGATTTATTGGAAGCAATTCTGAGTTCAATAGGACAAACTCTTCAGAAGGCATGCATAAGGTTACAGTTTTAATACAGCACTTGCTATGTGACATGTTGCACCATTCCTAAATGTATTTCCAGTACTGGGTCAGGTGAAAGCATAAGAAGCAAACAATTAGTAGATTATGGAAATTGTCAGGGGAAATGTGCAATTGTAACTTTTTGAAATTTAATTTGGGAGCGAGCTCCTCGATCTCAGAGGAGCGTGAGTAAACATGCTGAGTTGGGAAATAAAGATGGGGAGACAAAATATTATTCTCTCTCTGCCCCCAAGTTTATGCTAGGATTTAGTACGGATACGTACTAAACAGCATACAGATAGGCGCCGTTCCATCGTGACCCTCACTCGTGGATCAGACCTCAGTGACTGTTGCTGATTTTGTCATGGTACTCGCAAACTTTGGATAAATTTAGGACATACACTGCCGCTGAAGGGACGATGGGAGAAATTTGGAGCCAGTGAAAAAGAAAGTCGATTTTGCGGGGGTGTGTGTGTGTGTGTGTGTGTGTGAGAGAGAGAGAGAGAGAGAGAGAGAGAGAGAGAGAGAGAGAGAGAGGCGGGTTTCACATAGGGACAGCCCCCTGCCCGGGGTCTGCTCACCAGCAAGTTATCTCTCCGGAGGAGGGGAGGGAACGCGCACGCTGAGGTGCCGCCCCCAGCTCCCTTCTCTCCGCGCATTCGCTCCAGCTATTGTGACGTCACTGCGTTCTAAAAAAGAACCGAGAAAACAATCTGCACTGAGAGAAATAGATACAGTCCGGGTCCTATTTAAAGGGGAAGCTCTGGGCACCCCGGAGTCAGATCCAGCTTTATAAACAAAGGCGAAGGAAGGATTGCGGGAGAAGCCTCCTCAGCAAATATGGTGTCGCCGGTGACAGTGGTGAGTTCCAACAGCCAGCTTTTTAGTAACTGCAAAGCGGGTGGGGAGAGCAAAGGGGGATGACGCGCGCGCACACACACCAGCAAGTATAAAATCAAGTGTCAAGATTGCAATAATTGCTGCCTCGGGAAGCGAGCCCTGCAGATTCGCGGCTGACGACTTCACAATCGCTGCAGGGTTTTTATTTGGACAGGTAGCCGCTGTCAGAGAGCATCTGATCTACGCTGGGAATCCTGTCCCCATCATTTGTGCCGGCTACTAGAGTAGTCCCCCGCCACCCCGTAGTACTTCCATATCATTGCCCTTTTTCTGTTTTACTCTCTCCTCCCGCCTCCCTCCTTTGCTGGTAGCAAAATGTGGCTGTGATGGCGGTGGAAGAAGGGGGGGGGTAGAGATTGGAAAGGGGGAAGAGAGACATCACGACCGGATCGGTCGTTGCTTTACATAGCAAGCGGTGTGGGGGCGTGGGGAAGAGGAGGAAACCCTGCCAAAAGTCAATAGGATGAAAACATTGGGCATGTGACTAGGAAGCGTGACTTTGTTGATTTCGCTCCTTGGGGCTTGCCGGCAAGGCACCGTCTGATTGATGGAGAAGATTGCGGGTGGGAGGGATTCCAGTTCACCTCCCCCTTTCTCTGGCGCTCCCCCCCCTCGCCGCCCCCCCAACTCGCTTTGCTCCGGAATTGCTGGAGGATGGCACCATGCTGCCAATCTGCCTGCCTGTGTGTGCTTACATGGCCCATATATATATGCGCGTGTGTAAGGCATGTGCCATTCCCATTACGGATTTCTGATCCGTGGGTGCCCTCTGGGATCGAGGAACAACAGTGCAGAGAAATCAGCAAGCTTTATTTTTGCTTCTCCCCGCCCCCTGCCCACTCCGCAGCTAATAAACATCTTTGTCCGAATGCCATTTAGACTGCTGAAGATGTTTTGAAAATAAAATAAAAATAGGCAGATCTATAGGTATATCTAAATCTCTCTCTCTCTTTCACTCTCTACATATATATATTTTAATCTGAAATGAACGCAGCTAGGACAGATTGATAGATAGACTGCTGAAGCAGAGTGATGTAGTCAAAAGCATTCTAGGACACAGGGGACCTGGGTTCAAATCCATTGCTACCCATGATGCTTACTGGATTTCTAGTACACAGAGCTGTTGTGAGGATAAAATAGGATAATCCTTTGCAGCGCTATTATTCTAGGAAAAAAGGTGCCGGAGCTCACCATGAACGCCTCCCTTGTTCTCTTATAATGGCAATAGTGCCCACCATGTGTGTAGCCAAGGGGGGGGGCAGCTGCTCCCCTCGAATCAATAAAAATCAATAAAAATATATAGCAAACTGAGGTTCTGCCCCCCCCTAAAATCCTGGCTACGCCCATGGTACCCACCTAGAGCAGAGTTCCATTGAGTTCCAGCTGAAAAAACCCTGATCCTATGTAGGAACATAGGAAGCATCAAGAGCAGTATTTCCTACACTGACCACCAGCATCTCTCCAAGGTCTCAGGCAAGAGCCTCTCCCAGCCTTACCTGGGGCCTTCTGCATGCATCTATCTAGTTTGTCTGTCCTAACCGCAATACAGGACGTGGGTGGCGCTGTGGGTTAAACCACAGAGCCTAGGACTTGCCGATCAGAAGGTTGGTGGTTCGAATCCCTGCGATGGGGTGAGCTCCCGTTGCTCTGTCCCAGCTCCTGCCCACCTAGCAGTTCAAAAGCATGTCAAAGTGCAAGTAGATAAATAGGTACCGCTCCGGCGGGAAGGTAAACGGCGTTTCCATGTGCTGCTCTGGTTCACCAGAAGTGGCTTAGTCATGCTGGCCACATGACCTGGAAGATGTACGCCGGCTCCCTTGGCCAATAAAGTGAGATGAGCGCCGCAACCCCAGAGTCGTCCGCGACTGGACCTAATGGTCAGGGGTCCCTTTACCTTGACCTAACCGCAATACAACAGGCGTTTCATTCCAAATGAAATTAAAACAGGTATTGTAGTGACTTCACTCATTGGGCATTTGAAGATGTGTGCTGTAGTGGCGAGAGCAGACTTTCCCAACCCCGGATCACCAGATGTTGTGGGACTACAACTCCCATCATCCATGACCAGCAGGGGAATGATGGACATAGTAGTCCAACAACATCTGGGAGCGCAAGGTTGAGAAAGGCTGAGCTAGAGTGTTGGGCCTTGGGAGACCAGGGGTCAATTCCCTGCTCAGCCACAAAGTTCACTGGCTTGATATTGGGCCAGTCACTGCCCTTCAGACCAGCCTACCTCACAGGGTTGCCCTGAGGATAAAATGAGAGCAGGAGAGCCATGTACACTTCCTTGAGGTTCTTGGAGGAAAAACGGGATAGGAATGAAATAAAATTGTGATTAATACCTTCTTCAAAGTTACGTGCCTCACTTTCTGATCTTGATGCTCTTTAATTCCAGATGAGTGGTTTGGAGGTCAGCAGGGAAATGTTCTCCGCATGTGAAAAGAGACTTTCTTTTTATTACTTTATATATTCAAGGGCTGATCTTTGCCACAAAAGAAGATTGTGGGACTGAGATCTGGTGAAGTTACTGCAGGGGGTTCCACAGGGATAATATTTATCTCTGCAAAGAAACAAAGTGTTACCTCTTTGTCCTTGGGTACTGGTAAGAAGACTGAAAGATAATGTAGTTTTCATGTTACCTTGATTAATTTAATTATAAGACTCAGTGATTATCATCTGCATTATTTTATGCAAGGAGGACAAAAGTGACAAATTTAAAATTTAGGAAGATTTTGAAAATTAGGAAAGTCTTTTTACTGTTGGGATAGTGTAACAAATAAGTAAACATTTTAAGCACAATTTGGTGTTTCCTTCACTGGAATATTTCAAGGAAAAGCTGAACAGGTGTTTGCCTTAATTATAAGGCTTGTTTTGCTCACTTCGGCAGCACATATACTAAAATTGAAAAGATACAGATAAGGCAATTTATTTATTTATTATGCTGCCCTTTGTCCAAATATCTCAGGGCAGTTCACAATATAAAAATACAAAATGAGAACACAAAATACATAATAAAACAAAAACTAACCAATGACTCCCCCTCCCCCAAAACACATTTAATAGGCCACAAATATTAATCAGCCAAAGGCCTGGTTATAGAGAAACATTTTTGCCTGTTGCCTAAATATATGTAATGAAGGCACAAGGCGAGACTCTCTGGGGAGAGCATTTCACAAATGAGCCGCTGCAGAAAAGGCCTGTTCTCATGTTGCCACCCTCCAGATGCCTTGTGAAGGAGGGACACGAGGAAAGGCCTCAGATGATGATCACAGGGTCTGGGTCTGTTCATATGTGGAGAGGTAGTCCTAGTGGTATTGCGGTCCTTAAATGAACTTTTGTTGTTGTACAAACTGAAGCACATACATAGCTCATACTTTAACGTTTCCCCCCCATTCAGCACTGCCAAAACCAGTGCTGTATTATGAAAATCATGGGCCAGACAGACAGCTGACTGGCCCCTTTAATTGGATTTGTTTTAAAGGGAAAGATAAATAGACAGCACCCGTCCTGTATTATGAAAATTGGGAACCCTAACCAGATCCTTCTTAGCCTGTCAATTACAAGTTAGTTTAATGCCCTCTATTTCGTCTGTGTATTGGAAGGAGATAATACTTTTTCTTTAACTGAATACACGGTGATGCTTTTTAATGTGGGAATGAAGTGAAATGCAGCCTATTTTACTAGTGAAGCTTCAGGCCAAGATTTGGCCCTTGTGAGCCTGAAAAGCCTTTTCTGTGCCTTTACCTCATTGCCAATCTTCTTTTAGAACCAATAGAAGATTGTGCCAAAAAAAATACTGTCTGATAAAGGAAAGGTACAGATTATCTCTATTTGAACTTTCACCCTGCCTGAAGCAGCTTGAATTCTTTTTTCTCTTTTCCTCTGGACATGAAACACCTGGTTATAAAACATTCTATTCTCTGAACATGACTTATGTAGGCTGGAACTGGAGTTTTTTGCAGGTAGATTTTTGTGGCCGTCTTAGGTATCTATTCTTGTCCCTGATTTTTTCTTCTGTTAGATCTCTTGCTCCTTTTACTGACCAACTTTTAGACCACAAAGACATTTACTAGCTATAGAGCTGGCATCGCTGAGCATAAAAGTATGACTTATTTTTGAATAAAGCATACAGAGGACTGCACTGCATATCTTCTGGTAAAACAGATTTGGCAAGTGTAATGTCCAAAAGTCCTTGAAGGCTTATTTAATCGTTCATTTTTATTAGGTGTCTGAAAACTGTGCTCAGTACCCCAAATATCTCTAGGGACAGTAGATAGTTAAAATAACTTTTTAGAAAAGCCCTGCTGGAAGAATCTAGCCAAACTAAGATACTTTGAAATGTAATGGGACTTACCTCTGGCACTTTGAAAAAGGATAGATAGACCTTGTACCATTTTATGAATACCGGGGTTGCTTCCACACTTGGAAGAGATACTATTTTTATAGTATAAAAATACTCTTGATAGTGCTGTATCCTGCCATAGTTCTTTATATCTCAGACCTTGGGCTTTAGTGTGCTGGCACCTGTCCTTCCTGACACCAGGCAGGTACCTACACCATTGACATTTAGATACCTGCTTAAAACTCACCTGTTAAGCTTGGCTTTCCCTGAGAGATGATCCAGCCATGCTGATTTGTGATATACATTGTGTTTGTTTTATGGATGTAATTTTCTTGTTGAGTTTATGTGTGAGTGTCTGGAGGCGGTTGGAGGATGGATGGCAGCTAACAGATTGAGGTTGAATCCTGGCAAGACAGAAGTACTGTTTTTGGGGGACAGGGGGCGGGCAGGTGTGGAGGACTCCCTGGTCCTGAATTGGGTAACTGTGCCCCTGAAGGACCAGGTGCACAGCCTGGGAGTCATTCTGGAGGTCAATTCTGTGTCCAGGGCAGCTGTCTACCAGCTCCATCTAGTACGCAGGCTGAGACCCTACCTACCAGTCTGTCTCACCAGAGTGGTGCATGCTCTGGTTATCTCCCACATGGACTACTGCAATGCACTCTACATTGGGGCTACCTTTGAAGGTGGCCTGGAAACTACAATTAATCCAGAATGTGGTAGCTAAACTGGTGACTGGGAGTGGCTGCTGAGACCATATAACACTGATCCTGAAAGAACTACATTGGCTCCCAGTATGTTTCCGAGCACAATTGGTGCTGACCTTTAAAGCCCTAAATGGCCTCGGTCCAGTATACCTGAAGGAGCGTCTCCACCCCCATCGTTCAGCCCAAACACTGAGGTCCAGCGCTGAGGGCCTTCTGGTGGTTCCCTCACTGCGAGAAGTGAGGTTGCAGGGAACCAGGCAGAGGGCCTTCTCGGTAGTGGTGCCTGCCCTGTGGAAATATTCACAAGTTGAGTCCGGAAAAATGCACATAGACAGCATGGAAAGTACTGGAATGCAAGAGTTTGTCATCAGCGGCATCTGGATTCTCCATACAAATGAAACAGATTTTGTTCATTCAGAGGATCATAGAAACCTTTGTCTGATGGGTTCCTACATTGTAAGAGAAAGTTCAGAGATGTCCATTCCTTCCCACCTATTCTGCTGCACACTTAATGGAAACCTTTGATCTAATGCAGGAGTTTCAGAAAATGCCTGAGGAAATAGTAAGCTTCAAGGTCCTTTGAGAAGAGTTAGCTTTATTTTATTTAAAATGAAGTGTGTGTGTGTGTGTTTGCACATTTGGAGTCTGTAGTTTCAGTTCTCCGTGTTCTCTAATTCTCAATAAGCTGACAGTTCCCTTCCTTCCCAGCAGACGCTAGGTAGGGTTCCCTGTACGCTAAATGCTGCAGTCAGATCTTAGACTGATTCTTCTGGCTCAGAGTATCTCCTTTCATGAGAGGCTAGAGGAGCCAGTCAGAGCATTCAGCAGCACTGCAGGGTTTGGAGCCTAAATCACCATGCTTGTTATTTATACAATTGATGTGAATGTACCTTTATAGTATTTTTTAAAACAACAACATGAAAGGCTATTATTATCGTAGGCTGTGCTGTTTATGACTAGCAGTGCATTTGAAATGCCCAATTCTGCTATTAGAAGAATTGCATTTTGTAAAAATAAGATGTTTATGCATATTTATGTAATTTGCTTTATTTGTCCTTTAATAACATATGCTTTAATTCTTCTAATAATGCAGGAAAGCTAAACACTTTAAATTTCCACTAATTTCAATGGGAGAGATTTTTCCAGAAGCAATTCTATTCATAGCATCATAGAGTTGTAGAATTGGAAGGGATCCCAAGGGTCATCTAGTCCAGCCCCCTGCAACGCATGAATCTCAGCTAAAGCATCCATGACAGATGGCCATCCAACCTCTGCTTAACCCCCCCCCCCAAGGAATCAGTCTACCTTTCAAGGGAGTCTGTTCTACTGACAAACAGCTCTTACCAACAGAAAGTTCTTCCTCATGTTTAGTTGGAACCTCCTTTAACTAGAATCCACTGGTTCTGGTTCTCCCCTCTGGAGCAAGAGAAAACAAGCTTGCTCCCTCTTCCATGTGACAAACCTTTAGCTGTTTGAAGATGGCTGTAATATCTCCTCTCAGTCTTCTCTTTCCCAGGCTAAACATATCCAACTCCCTGAACTGTTTTTTGTAAGGCACAGTTTCCAGACCCATTATCATATTGATCACTCTCTTTTGCACATGTTCTAGCTTGTCAATCTCCATCTTAAATTGTGGCACCCAGAACACAGGAGTCCAGGCAGAATAGAGCGGTACTATTTCTTCACTTGCTCTGGACAATAGACCTCTGTTGATGCAGCCTAGAGTAGCATTAGATTTTTTGTGTTGCTTCATCACACTGTTGACTCATTTTAAGCTTGTGGTCTACTAAGACCCCTAGGTCCTTTTTGCATGTACAGTCGTACCTTGGAAGCAGAACGGAATCCGTTCCCTCTCCTACAATTTTTGCCTATATACTCTCAAATCTGCCTTCCATGCTCTGGGTCATAGATCTCTTCACAAGTGTACACATTCCTTACATATAATGCTACTCCTCTTCTCTTCCTGTTTGGTCTATTCCTTTTGAGCAGGTTGTATACTCCTCAATTTCTACATTCCAGTCATGAGACTCATCCCACTCATCCTACATACCTACTTGGGAATAAGTCCCACTGGACTCAATACTTCTGAGTCAGCATGCGTTGGATTGCACTGTTAAGCATGTGGTTTGTTGCAATAGCAGTTACAAATAGGATTAGATTAGCATGGAGTCTAATTACTTCTGTGCTATACTCGGTCAAAATTGAAGGATATGTGGATCATTGCTCCCTGGCATTAATAACCAAAGATACATCCTGCAGTGTAACCTATATATTCTTTCTAACTGTTTATAGCTGGGATGGAGAACCCAAGGCACTCTGAATGTTGTTGACCTGCAGCCCCCATCATCCCTCACCAGTGACTATGTCAGCTGGGATGGATAGAAGTTGGGAGTCAGACAACATCTGGAAGACCACAGGTTCCCTATCCCTGCTCTCATTAGCTCGAGAGCCAGTGTGGTGTAGTGGTTAGGAGCGGTAGACTCGTAATCTGGGGAACCGGGTTCACGTCTCCGCTCCTCCACATGCAGCTGCTGAGTACCTTGGGCCAGTCACACTTCTTTGAAGTCTCAGCCCCACTCACCTCACAGAGGAAGGGAAAGGAGAATGTTAGCCGCTTTGAGACTCCTTCGGGTAGTGATAAAGCAGGATATCGAATCCAAACTCATTTATGCTACAAAAATCTGCAGGCTATTTCTGGCAGGTGTGCAGGTTAAAGCGCAAACAGATACTGTAATTTGTCTCCATACCTTTCCTTCCCGGGGGGGGGGGGGAGGGATTTGGGCTTGTTTGTCTGCAAGCAAACCCTGAAGAGTAACCAAGCCTTGTTCTTGACTTGCTTCTCATGATTTGTTGTGGGAAAGAAATAATGAGCCGGGTTCAGATATCACACGGTGCCAGACCACTGCATTGGGTTGTACTAGATGCCCCTTTGGGGACCCTCCATCTCCACAATTCTATGATTCTGTGTTTCCCAGCAGTGCTTCAGCGTCGAGGCAGGAGCAAAGCACCCTCAATTTCAGAATGCACCAGAATACTGCAAATTCACATTTAACCACAGTTAATTTGACCGAAGGTTTAATGTGATGTGCAAATGTGGCCACTGAGTGACAAACAGAAGATGAAATGTGAGAGGAGTTCTGGTGTCATAGCACCCTGCAAGTATCAGGCATTGATTACTACCCAGAGATTTCAAAACCATCAACTAGCCTTTATTGGTGTTGACACTAAATCCATATCTGTTTTTGGTGCATTATGCTGCTTGCTTTTTAGATGATTTCCTTTCAGTGAAAAAGATGGAAGGAAAGTAGATTTCCTTTGAGAGAGGGTTTCAGAAATTCCTTGGGACACAGATTGGGAACAAAGCTGCCAAAAGGCCCCTCTGCTAGAAAGCAGAAAGCAAGGCATCACCACTCAAAGGACACTGGAGAACATCTTTTTAGTGAATATTTGATGCTTAATTCTATCCTTTCTCAGTAGGCACTGCCTTAAGGTTTCATCACCAGCTGAGTGGCACTGAAAATGGATTACCCTGCTGGCCTAACCGCTTTGTGAAAGGAACTTTTGCTGAAAACAACTGTCCCTTCATATTGTCCTGCTGCTAATTCAGGGGACATGGCTTTAGCTGATTGTAACTAGGGCAGATTTGTTTTTTTGCTTGCAAAAATACATGAGAACAACGAGAGTATCAGTGCTGCACTGCTTCTGCTGCAGTAGGGCAACAGTGTGTTGACACCAAAGAGCTGGCATTCCTACCTGTTATTCCATGGCTAAAGGTGGTAGAATAGTTGGCACACAGGAATGGCTAGTTTGTTGGCCTGAGAAAGGAGGTGTGATCTTGTTTAGGCCATCTTATGATGCTTATCTACCTGTTACAAAGCACACTGCTTCTCCCATGGTTCTTAAGAGGGAAAAAATACTCTGAAGAATATGGGAACATGTACATGATGTCCCTAAGTAAAGGGAGTTGAGTGAGAACATAAGCCATTCATCAAGGCCAAAAATGTTGGTTTTTTTACTCCCAGCTACTCCAACCCACAGCAGCTCTCGGTGGTTTCAGGCAGAGATCTTCCCCAGCCTTATTTAATTTAATTTATTCTATTTCCTTTACATCCCACCTTCTCCAAGGAGCTCAAGGTGATGGCATACATGGTTCTCTTCCTCCCCCATTTCATCCTCACACAAACCTGAGAGGTAGGGTAGGCAGTGGCTGGCTTAAGGTCATCCAGTGAGTTTCATGACTGAGGGATTTGAACCCTGGTCTCCCGGGTCCTAGTCTGACACACTAACCACTACACCACACTGGCTCCTGCTATCTGAGCCCCTCCACCTGGAGCACCCAAGGTTGTGGAGCCCGGGATCTTGCACATATAAAACATGTGCTGATCTAGGGGGAGAGAGCTATGGCATTTGTACCTTCCCCGCCTCAGCAGAACTAATGGCGGCTTCATGCTGTTGCTAAGGCTGTTTACACACTAAATCATTAAAGCACATTCAAGTGCACATTCTTCCCCTCAGAGAATTCTGGGTAATGTAGTTTACCCCTCACAGAGTTACAACTCCCAGCGATCCTTAACAATTGGGCCGGCCCACCCATGAGGCAAGCTGAGGCTTTGGATAGCAGGACCCACAGGGCAGATCCTGATGTAGATATTTATCCCCGACCCCTTGTTCCTGGTTATCTTCACTCCTTCCTCCGGGAGTGCCATTTTGTGGTTTGCCTCAGGTGCCAAAATGTCTTGGGCCAGCCCTGGTTAACAAACGGCAGTGCCCTGAATTCTTGGGGAGAGAATGCACTTCAAATGTGTGTTATAGTGTGCACATAGCCTTAGGCTGGGGAAGGGGACAAGGGAAATAAAGGTTAAACTTCCTCTCCCAGAGAGTGCTACTTTGCTGATCCTCAAAGCAGCCACATGGGTTTGCAATTTAGTAAGAAAACAAACAAAGCAAGCTCACAGGAAATCTTAATCATGGCTCTTCTGTGTCACACCTAATTTGGCCCTGCAAAACTGCTTAAGCGCAGATGAGCCATCATTGCCCTTGTCAGAATCACAGAACTTTGTTTTTCTTCCTGAAATTGACCAAAGTAGAAAGTATGTTATAAGTTAATTGACACAAGAGATATTTGTGATACAGGTCAGCCATAGTCTTGGAACCCTATAACATCTTAAGGGTTCTTGGAGTCATTCAGGTTTTGCATGCTAACTGTGTATCCTGTGCAACTATATATTAGAGCCCCAGCACTTTTGGTGTTATTTTAATTTTAAAGGAAAACAATTTTGAGAGGAGATAATTTGGAGTAGTGGAGCAGTTGGGTTCTAAGTGATCTCAAACACATGCTTATAATATTGGAAGATCATTCAGTGTATGACTTCAGGGTTAATTCTGATATATAATTCTTATATCTCACTAATAGTATATAAACTCTACTTGAAAACCTCACTTTAACAAACCTGTCTAACAGAATAAGTAACAATCGGTAAGACAACTAACCAAGCGGGGGGTGGTGGAGGGCTTGCTTAGTAACCAGGCAGAGTGACCTGATGTTCATTGAGCTAGCACATGCTCTGGTTGGCTGTGTAGTTTTGAGGAAGTTTTTCCTCTGTATGCTTGGTTGTATGTCTCCCTACTATGTACAAGGCCTAAAGTAAGAAAAACAAAAGCTCTTTGTTTATCTCCCCCCCCCCCCCCCATGATACAGTGGAACCTCATGTTACGTACCACCCCCCTTGTGAACGCTGTGGGTTACGAGCTCCGCTAACCCGGAAGTAGATGCTCCCGGTTGCGACCTTTGCCCCGGGATGCGAGTGGAAGTCACGTGCCGGCATTAGCAGGAGGTGCCATTAGCAAAAGTGCATCTCATTTTACGAGCAGTTTCGGGTTGAGAACGGACCTCCAGAACGAATTAAGTTTGTAACCAGAGGTACCACTATATAACATTTTGTTCTGTTTCTTCAGTAAAGTATTATAAGGATTTCTTTTTTCTTTGGACTTCTTCTGTATTATTTAAGTGACTTTGCTAACACTGAACCCCATGGCGGTTAAGCTACCTAATCCTGCTGCCTTTCTGCTTCAGATTTTTCCTTCCTGAAGCTGCTTTTATAAAAACCAAACCAAACCCATGGCTCTGTTTTTGGTTTCTAATTCTAATAAAAAGTTTCAACTGGATAAGATTTCCCCCCAATAAAATAAAATAAATTCCCTAAGGAAACTGTTTAACACCTTACATTTTGAAACAATTAAATATAAATTAGAAATAAAACAAATTAACCACTGCATTGACTCCAAAGAAGAAACCAGTAATTAAAGTGACCCAAAGCAGAGGACAAGAACTGACTGAATGCCTTGGTCAGGAGAGTGAAGAGGAAGAAATCAATTTAGGAGGGAAAAATCTAAGAAGCAGAACCTACTTCAAAAGAACTGGACAGAGGGGAAACGTCTAATTAAAAGGGCAGTTGCAAGGATAACCTTCAGTCCATCCTGGGAAGGCTGGCACTACAACTTTATTTTTAAGTAAAATCAGGGATGAATATAGCAGTAATGGATGGGAAACATGGAAAACACTGGAATGCAATGGGTTGAAATAGTAGCACTATCCTGTTGCATGATGTTTTCATGATGGCTTTAATTGCTGCAGATCATTTTATGAGGTTGCTTCGGTTTTTTACTCTGTGCCTCACTCTGGGATAGGGGAAATGAAGAAGGGCAGAATATGAATTGAAATAATAAATGACATAAAAGAAGACTGTAAATGGCCTGGGGGAAGTAGGCATGATGACTGCGTTTTTGTCTACCATGCTTGCTACGAGTCACCTTGGAGATTGGTGGTGGTCCATAACTGATGGTTCTTTTGAAGAAGAAACACCTGCCAGATGATGCAAACTTATCCAGCATTGAGATGAAAATACAAGAGACACGATATTCCTTTTCTTTTCTTCATTGCTTATGTCTTGAAAGATACAGTATTGGGAAATTCCCCCTCCCCAAACAAACATTTTCTCCATAAACAATAACTGTAAGTTTTTTAAGCAGCTGGCTGAGTCCTGAGTTCCCCTTCCTCATAGGAGTTAAGCAATCAAGGAAGTATCCTTGGAAGTGCCTTGTAAATCTTTTATGGGAACGTCATTGCTATATGGTTGGGAGCGATGTAGCCTTGCAGCTGAAACATTCTGTTTGCTTTTGCTGTGCTTTTGTGAGCATGAAGGGAAGGGGAGAGAATAAATAACATAGCACAGGGCAGGAGGGAGAGCGACTGGGAACTTCCTAAACTGAAAAACACAATCAGATAAAGTACTCCATAGTCTCTTTCTTTCAGCTTCCTGTATCATTAAACTCTGACATTTTCTTGGAAGAATGTATCAGAGCCTAAAACACATTACCTTGTGTTTTCCTTATGAATGTGGAAAGGCAGAAGGAATGTTTCACCTGGTTATCTTTTCAGCGTTCCGTTTTCTTCTCTGCTATAGTTTCCCTTCTCCATCTTTCTGGGTTTAATCTTTACCGAGTCCCTGTGGTCTCAGTTCCATATCTGGAACATGGAGCATGTGAGGGTCATGCGTTTATTTTAGGTGCTGCTTGCTCTGAACATGGAGAATAAGCAGATACTGGCAAGGGCATAGTCTGATGCCAGGACCCAGCTATGGTGCATAGAGAGTGTCTCTGAGTCTTGCTTTTTCTCACCACTGAAGATACAACTAGACATCACTGGAAAATGCAGGGCCGTCACTGAAATGTTCCTCTGTAATGTCTAGGAGCCCACCTCCTTGGCTGGGGTCTGCAGAACCATTTTGAGGAGAATGTGAGACGTTTCACGACATCAAAGTAGGTAGCTGAAGTAGGAACACTGGGTTAGCTACAGTGCAGTCATGCACAAGTTTATTCAGAAGTAGGGGTATAGGGAGGCAACAATTTCCACCCCATCCTGTGTTCCTCAAAGTCAGCCGTTTTCACACACACCACCGAGGTTTTCACTGAGCTATCCACCATGTTGAACTATTCACCGTGACCCCTATATCTCTTTCCTTTGGCTCCTAGGCTGTATTTCCTATGGGAGTGTTGTGAGAATATCATCCATACCAAAAATGTCTGTCATACTCTTCTAGTGTGAAGTTATTACTGAGCATATTAGAGCTGAATAGGAGGATTTGAATCCCAAATGTGCTTGCTAATTCATTCTCACAACGCTGCTGCTAGCGAGTAGTTAACTATTTCTGCTTTGTGGATTAAAAACTGAGGATCAAGATGCCAAGGAGCAATGACCCTCAGTACAAATCTATATTTAGGAAACAAATAGCATGGTGGGTCAAACTGTGGAGAAAAGCAAGGATATCACCAACCTTCCGGCAGCCCTCAGCATAGGGCTGTCAGTGGGCCCAGCACCCATGTCCCCAATAGCCACGATGATACCCTATTTTAATTTTTTTTTCAACTGCAATCACCATAACACTACTCACCATCCTACCTGGTGAGTCTCCAGACAGCCGTTTAGTCATGGGCATAGATCTGTAGGCTAGGTGTTACTGATTTATAAGTAGTCACATTGCATTTTGGGCAAATTACAATACTGGGGAGCCACCATGGATGAGAGTTGAGTTTTGCTCTCATTCAAAAACAACACCTGCACCTACCCTCTGCTAAGACAGTGGGAAGGGTAATGACTTGGGGTTTGGCTGGGTCATTCTGGTGAGGGGCCTTTTTGAGCCCTTGAGGACTTCTAGCAGTGCCCATCTGCTGGCACTGAGCATAGTGGAAAGGAAACTGAGAATGCACGCAGGCTGGCATAAGAACTCATGCTACTTTATGTGTTCTAGTAGCATAACACGCAAAATGATGTCAAGGGCAACAATTAATGCATTTATTACTCCATTATGTTTTATTTTTCTTTATTATTTCTTTATGTTTTATCATGCTTTTATATTTGTAGGAAGCATCCTAGTGTGGTTGGCGCAACACAGTCAAATGGGCGGCATACAAATAATAAAATTGTTCATTTGTTTGTTTGTACTGAAATGCTTCAATCCACTGGGAGGAAGTCACCTTAGCTAAGTCCCATTGAACCCATTGCCAAAAGATGGGTTCCTCTCTGAATCCTCTGAATTTCCCAAACTGAATCCTCTCTGTTTTCAGTGGAGTGTTAATGTTTACTTAGAACTGACTTCTGCTTAATTCCGTAGAAGTCCCTCCTGGCAATTTGCAGAGATAATAGACTCATGTCTTCTCCAAGGACTGAAGCCTTGGTCATTACTGATTTTTGCTTGTTGACAAGTATACACATGGCTAGAGAGTTTATTTATTAGATAAATTTCTATAGCATTTTCATTTGGCCTGTAACAGTGCTCTGAAAGAGCTATTTGAGCAGGTTTGCAGAAGCCCCTCCAGGCAATTCCCAGAGATAATAGACTCGTGTCTTCTCCAAGGGAAAGGAGCCTGGCTGGAATCTTAAACAGAACCATCATTTCCTGTTTGCAACACAGTAGGGTTGCTATTTTTAGTTTTTATGGTCTTATGCAGTTTTCATGCATGCTGGAGCTATCGGAAGCAAAAATCAATTTGCAGTCTGTTAATGATGGCTATCCTAGATCACCTTGGAAACCCCCATTGATCCTGATGTTAACCTTCACTCCTCCGGTGAATGTACACAAGCAGTTTTATTGTGTGGTAAGGTATGGTTGCTCACTTATCTGTATTACTACCCATATGGTGTAAATGTTCTTTACTGATCATTCTCATGCCTGGTGAATTTTGGCATCTTTACCATATAGGAAGCTGTCTGTCTGGAGTCACTCCTGATCTCCAGCTGAAATAACACACGGGATTGCTTTTGCTTCACATCTGTCCCTTGTTGTCCTCCCTCCTCCCACCTTGTTGCCCTTCTCCCTCATCAAAATTTAGAGGGCAAGAGGTTTGGGGGCAAGGTGCTGGTTTCTGTTACCAATAGCCTGTAGAACACTATGTTCTTAATAATAATAAGCCAGAATCAGGGTTTTCTCTAGATCTCCATATTTCTGGACAAAAGTGCTTTTGAATTTCAGGAGATCTTCTAGAGTAGCGTGTGATGCGTGATAGGAGAACTCCTGATCAGCAGTGTGCAAATGGAAGCACTTCTCATGTGTATTTGGGACTTCTTGGAGGACATAATATTTGCAAAGGATCAAGGTGCATACTCTGTGACAATGAGCATTCAAAAACCATCCAACACAACCCATGACTAAGGGTTCACTGTTACTGAAATTTGAGAGGGGATGTGATGTTTGGGAATGAATCTGGGACAGACTAGGCTGTGGCTAGTGAAGTGGATAATTTGTTGCTGGACTAATTTCTCATCTTGATCAGCTAGGACCTGCTGTGACAGATCTGGCAGCTGACCTATTAAGAAGAGTGCATCAGGATGGAGTGATCAGCTCACAAGACATTTTTCTTGGGTTAGCTGTATCATGTTCAAGGAAATAGGTGTCTGATTTATCTACCACTAATTAATTCCAGGCGTCTTGGAGTTTCATGATGTAAGAGTTGATCAAGAGATATGTGAGAGAGAATAAGGAAGTTTGAGGACAACCTCTTCTTTTTAACAACTCAAGGAATCATTTGTCTCACTAACACTTTATATGGTGTGGACACCATTATACAGGGTAGGTACCTTCAACCTCTTCAGACCCAGGATCCACTTTTAACCCAAATGTGCACCTGGGGACCCATTTCTTAATTGTTTAACACACATTTGTGTGGTGGTGGTGGTGCTTTTGCAACTCAACTTGGATCAGGCCTCATCCTACTAGTGGGTCTTGACCCAGCAGTTGAACCCACCCAATTATCAAGCCCTCACTTGCCTCTCTACTTCACAGACAGGTAGAAGAAAATTATGCAAAGGCCAAAGCTGGTACCCTTGTTGCATAAGTAGCTCTTCCCCAAAACATTTCTCAGCCCAGTTGTTGATGCTCCAGAGTGTGATACGAAACCCAGGGACACAAGGAGATTAAGGAGGTGGTTGTTTTTATGTTCGCAGTGTGTAGGCAGGTTAATAAGATAATTGGTACATTTTGACATGTTTCTACACCCCGTAAACTGAAGGCTGTGGATCATTTTGCTTAATGGAATTATTTAAAGTCATATTTACTAGGTCAACCATTCTGTTGTGAGGAAAATGACCCACAGATATAAGCAACCTGTGTTTCGGCCTAATGAAAGTAGTTGGAGGAGGAACAACCAACATGTTCCCTTTAATATTGAATTTGCCGCTTCACCTTTCTGGTTTTCCTGCAGAGCCGGTTTTCTCATAGAGCTGCTGCTGTTTCATGAAGGGCATGTAGCTGGCTGGAACCGATGGGATATGTCGTTCAACAACATCTGAAGGACATCACATTGGCAGAGTCAGCTCATCCAGTAGGCAAATTTGAGGCCCCAATAAGGCAGCTTCATGGGCACCCCGACACCTCTGCAGAAGGGGTGCTGGTATTGGTTGAAATTGTGCCCAAAATTGCTCAAGCATGAGAGATCTCATGCGATTTGGGTGAGATCTCACCCAAATTGGGTGAGTTCTTGCCTGAAATTGTCGCTGATACTGCCGCTGCTTCTTTGCCCATGGCAGAGGCAGCAGGGGGAGAGGAAAGCAGTGTTGGCAGTAGCAGGTATGGCACCAGCAGCAGGAGTGGCAGGGCAGGCAAAGGCGGCACTTTCCATTGTGCCTTAGGCGGTGAAACGGGATGCACTGCCTCTGTGCATTGGTTATCCCTTCTCTATAATAATAATGGTCTGTACACAGTCCTGGTATCTCCACACAGACAAGAATGATGGTCACTTTTCCACAACTCATTTTCCTGCTCATCCAGTGCAAAATGTTCTTGAATTTTTAGCTGTAGTTCCGAGAGATGCTATACTCAGGGTGTTTTTGTATCCAGCTGACTATATTTATATAATATACTGTGCCAAAAAAGTTGTGCTTCTATTCAGCCCGTCTTCTGCGTTATTCAGTTTGGCATAAAGTCTGCCAATGAACCCTTCACGCAAGGATTGCCAATGCACTGTTAAATATATCTATTTGTTACATATATTTTAAGACCGACACCTCTTGGTGTCAGAGCTTGTTCAAAGGCTGAGTCAGAGCTTTCTGCAGAGGCCTTATCACACCACTGCCTGCTGTTACTCCTGAGCTGCCCCCGCAGCACCATTCTGCTTTAATTTGGCTTTAGGCATAACTTAATGGCAACTCTGAGATTCTTTGGATGCCAAATTTGATCATGTGTCATATTATGCACTGGTGCAAGAAACAGTCAAGCTGATATATATTGCGGTTTTGACATGGCCTGTGCTCTTCAAGGGCATAGAGATCATATTGGTCCTCCACCTCATTACCCCTCCAGTTGCTCCCCACCACAAAAGTTCAATATCAGACTAATTGAAGCTGCGGCCTTGAATCTCTGTATCTCATTACCCATTCCTTCAGCCTGCTAGTCTCAGCAAGGCAAAATTTAGAATGTCATGAAACCTGATAAAACAGTGCCTTTTCCTTTTTTTCCTTTGGTAATGTACAATCTGTGTTCTTTTCACAGGAGATTGTGATATAAATAATGAACCGTCTCTGGAGAATATGTGCTGTGAAGCTTGAAAGTCTTCATTAGGTCTCAGTCCCAGAGTCTTCCTTTCACATTAGAACTTTTCTGTGCTAGCTTGGTTTTCTGGGGAAAAGGACACCGGAGGTGGCTCAATAAGTTTTGGTGCCTGGGGCAGAAAATCAAAATGTGACAAAGATATACCGTATTTTTCGCTCTATAACACGCTCCCAACCATAACACGCACATATTCTAAACGAAACAGTGGATGTATGATTTTTGTGGTTCATGCTGTGGCCACAGACACGTGATCTGACGGTGAGTTTGGGGTAGCCCAATGCAAAAATCCTGAGGATCCATGTGGATCCGTGCTTTGTAACTACGTTTTTGCACCACTGTGGCCCCAGGCAACAGTGGGTGCGTGATTTTTTTGGTGCAAGCTGTAGTCATGGACATGCTATGTGATCTGATGGTGAATTTGGGGTGACCCAGTGCAAAAATCCTGAGGATCCATGTGGATCCGTGCTTTGTAACCACGTTTTTGCACCACTGCGGCCCCAGGCAACAGTGGGTGCGTGATTTTTTTGGTGCAAGCTGTAGCCATGGACATGCTATGTGATCTGATGGTGAATTTGGGGTGACCCAGTGCAAAAATCCTGAGGATCTGTGTGGATCCGTGCTTTGTAACCATGTTTTAAGTGGGAAGGAAAGCACTCAAGGGACAAGGAACACGCGTGGGGTGGGTGGAGAAGGATGCTGTTAATAATGCAGAAGAGGGGTCTAAGAGGAGAAGGCTCTTATAAGAGGAGTGGGGAGGAGAGAGAGACAGAGAGCCTGCTTGCGAAAAAATTTGCTGCTATTTAGCGAGTGGGGAGGAGAGAGAGACAGAGAGCCTGCTTGAAAAAACGTTGCTGCTATTTAACGAGTGGGGAAGAGAGACAGAGCCTGCTTGAAAAACGTTGCTGTATTTAGCGAGTGGGGAGGAGAGAGGGACAGAGAGCCTGCGTGCTTTAAAGGAGCCAACCGGACAGGAGCCGCTTACACTCATGTAAGCGGCTCCTCTCCTCTCCTCTCCTCTCCCGCTTTGCTCCTTTAAAGCAAGCAGGCTCTCTGTCTCTCTCTCCTCCTCACTCAGCGGCTCTTCTCCCGCTTTGCTGTTTCAAAGCGAGCCATGGAGGAGGGAAGGAAGGGGAACCATGGATCCTCTGCTCACGACTGCAGCAGATCCCCCCGCCATCCGTAGGGATTCGCTCCATAACACGCACAGACATTTCCCCTTACTTTCTAGGAGGAAAAAAGTGAGTGTTATGGTGCGAAAAATACGGTAATAATGTTGTGGTAAATAATGAACAAGCTGCTGTTGATGGGCCACCTCAGCTTTGAGGTGATGGTGTGTGCCCTACTTTACAGAGGACAGTCCTCTATTTGAAGGGCTAACTGCTCAGTCTGTTTCAAAGATTTGTTGTTTAGTCATTTAGTTGTGTCCAACTCTTCGTGACCCCATGGACCAGAGCACGCCAGGCACTCCTGTCTTCCACTGCCTCCTGCAGTTTGGTCAAACTCATGTTGGTAGCTTCGAGAACACTGTCCAACCTTCTCGTCCTCTGTCGTCCCTTTCTCCTTGTGCCCTCAATCTTTACCAACATCAGGGTCTTTTCCAGGGATTCTTCTCTTCTCATGAGGTGGCCAAAGTATTGGAGCCTCAGCTTCAGGATCTGTCTTTCCAATGAGCACTCAGGGCTGAATTCCTTAAGAATGGATAGGTTTGATCTTCTTGCAGTCCATGGGACTCTCAAAAATCTCCTCCAGCACGCTTTGACTAAATGTGATCCACCTGGAGCAGGAACTGGCAAGCCACTCCAGTATCCCTGCCAAGAAAACTCCATGGACTAAAACAACAGGCATATAAAAGTTTCAAAGATAAGGAACCATAAAAAAACAAGATGGAGGGCCTTGAAGCTGCCCATCAACAGCTTTTGAACACAACACACACGTAACTAGCTGCAAAGTAACATAACATGATATGTAATAAAACTGTAATTTTAATCATCATACCAAAAAGCACAGTTCCTGATGGCAACATATCATATCTTCTATATGTATTGGTATTGTAAAGTCCAAGGATTGTCAAGTCCAAAGACTACAATGCACAGTTGTACACAAGGGTGTATCCTGAGAACTATTCTACCATTAGCTGCCTTTTGTTACTAATTAGTTTGTTTGTCACACTTTCAGACATAGGACGATGCAGAAGGTAGTTTCGCTTGTTGCACATTTAAGATGTAGGACGATGCAGAAGGAAGATATCAGCCTGAAATGGCATTGCCAACAGGAACTGTGCACTGTAATCTTTGGACTTGACAATCCTTGAACGTTACGATACCAATACATGTAGAAGATATGCTATGTTGCCATCAGGAACTGTGCTTTTTGATATGATGATTAAAATTACAGTTTTATTACATATCATGTTATGTTACTTTACAGCTATTTATGTGTGTGTTGTGGTGTTCAAAAGATGCTTCACCTAATGAGGCAATAGTGGTGTTTGTTGCCCATCAACATCTGGCAGCACTCAGTCAGCAGACTGAGCTTCCACACAAATATCCTGGTAGTGCCTTCCATGCCATGGTGAGGTGTGTTTAATTATGCTAATTATTTCTACATTTAATTTAATTTCATTTAATTATGCTATTTTCCCTACATGTCTAAAAGCATGCCCAAAATTACAACAACAACAACAACAATTTATTATTTGTACCCTGCCCATCTGCAAACTTCATACAAATTAGCGCCCTCTTTTGTCTTGTTTTTGGGTGATGCAAACCCTCTTTTTTGGCAGTGCAAAACAGTCTACCCTACTTGGCTTGCTTAATTGGTAGGGCTGGGTTTGAGCAGAACAGATTGTGCAAATGATAGTATGCTAACTTGTTATGGTACTCTCCTTGCCTCATAATAATTTCAAAAGGTATTGCTAAGTGCAGATATAGTTATGTTGATACCATATTATCTTCCATCCTGATGATGCCCTAAGGAATGCTAGGCAGCAAAGGCCTTTATCCCTCATCCTGTTCATATCTCACTGGTGTGATTAACTTCCTGTGAGAAACACTTTTGCTTGCATAACAGTACATGATCAGATTAATAACTAGAACATGCCCACATTTAGTGCAGGGAAATTGGATCTCAGGAAGAGAATGAGTTAGGTTTTTGTCTCTTTTCATGTTGCTTCCTACATCATCACCAGCCATGAAATCAGGCTTTTAATGCTAATTCAAGCTAAGCAACACCTGAAGCCCATCCATCCGTAGTTGCATCTATGACATAGTGACTAAACAAGTGGCAGGGCATAATTTTGTTATCTGGGTTGTTAAATATTTTGAGATGATATGTAGGGATAGATGAATCAGTCAGTTTGGGTTTCCCCCCAGTTTCTATTTTTTTCAAGTCTTAATGCAGTTCTGCAGCAATTTGCTTTTTAAAAAATAAAAACAACAACACTAAAAACTCATAAAAATTGATTAGTATTTATTCTAATTTCTTCTTATATATACATTTTTGCAAGCAATTTCCCCTAAAATTTTGTGTTATTTTCACTTTTTATGCACAAATCCCCTAATATATACAGTTTTGAACACATTTTCTGTTTGGAAAACTTCATTGTGAAATTAGGAGGCCTGCAAACTTTGAAGGATGGTTGTGTTTTGATTTGTCTCTTGGTTCGCAAAGTGTAAATTGGGTAGTTTCTCATTAAAATGCAAACAACATCAAATTTCTCCCTTGTTCCTAATTATATCTAAGTTGTATGATGAGTTGAAATCTGCCTTTATTGTTGCATAAAGGTCCTCTGCAATTGTGGTCATGATCTTTCCTGCATTTTAAGCAGTTTCCTCAATCAATGCAAATCTTTTTTTAGAATCCAGATGGACAGCTAGACAGAGACAGCATTTGGTTGTTGCCGCTATACAGCAATATATAAAAAAATAAGGCTCGTTGCAGGGATATCCTTAACCTGCACAACTTGCTAATGAGTAGGTTATAGCAGGTTCTGTGTTACAGCATTAGAATTTTCTCTTCCTTCTTATGACAGACAATGACCATTCTTAGTAGGAAAATGCTGGAGATTTTGGATAATAGCGTTGACAGTTAATTGTGTTCATGATTTTGCACAGTTCGTATTTGCTTTATAGTGACTTACCTGGAAATAAATCTCATTGAACTTATTTCTGAGTAGATAGCATCATGCAGTTAAGGCAGTATCCAGCTCACCAGTTTTACACAGATTGCATTAACAGCAGTGCTGACCTCATCATCATCATCATCATCATCATAATAATAATAATAATATATTATTTATACCCTGCCCATCTGGCTGGGTTTCCCCAGCTGGTCTGGGCAGCTCCCAACAAAATATTAAAAACACGATAAAACATCAGTCATTAAAAACATCCCTAAACAGGGATGTCAGATGTCTTCTAAAAGTCAGATAGTTGTTTATTTCCTTGGCATCTGATGGGAGGGCATTCCACAGGGTGGGAGCCACTACCAAGAAGGCCCTCTGCCTGGTTCCCTGTAGCCTCACTTCTCACAGGAAGGGAACCGCCAGAAGGCCCTTAGAGCTGGACCTCAGTGTCCGGGCTGAACGATGCGGGTAGAGATGCTCCTTCAGGTATACTGGGCCGAGGCCATTTAGGGCTTTAAAGGTCAGCACCAACACTTTGAATTGTGCTCAGAAACGTACTAGGAGCCAATGTCAGTCTCACTACTGCTCTGCCACAGCCTCACTCAGATAAGCAGCAGCAATCCTGGGAATAGGGGTGGGGTGGCTGCATCCCACCCATTGCATCACTACTGATAGATCAGTTACCGTATCTCCTAGTCCTCTATAGGGACTAAATTCTGAGAGCAATAAAAGCTCCCACCTTTTCTAAACAAGTGCCTCTTTAAACCGTAGAATCCTCTAATAATGATATCCAGCTATTTAAATAATACCCTGCTTCATAATATTTTTTCAATAGTCTTTTCATTAAAGCATCTGGGTGCAAAGACTTACTGCAGTGCACAGCTGCAAAGGAATTTCTCTCTCCCTTTGATAGGCAGCCACCCCTTTTTAATGCTACTTTGATTAATTCCCTTTCCCTTTCTCTGCACCTCCACTGCAGTACCAGGCCCCCCCCCCGCCACCCTCCCCGGCCAGTGCCAAATAAACTAAAGCACTAATACATTCAAGTCCAGAATCTCAAGGCCAATTGCCAAGGGTTTAATTATATTCTTCTGGCAAATGACCATTGTTTGCTCTTTAAAAAGTCAAGCCTTACTGGCTGCCAACTCTGCCGCTCCAGTCAGCTGAGGAGGGAGGCTTTGAACTGTTGCAAAAGTCTTTTATTTTTGCAGAACCAGGAGGCAATCATAGAGCTAGTTGTAGGCTGTGAGCACGAACAGATCTCGGAGGTAAGGGAGGGATGACTTGTGACCTCACCTAACTGACTGGAAGACTTCAAATGAAATTTGTACACAGTCCAACCGGACATTAAAAAAACAACAACCAAAAAACCCACCCATCTTTTGGCAATGTTGTTCTGGGGAAAGTTACCTCAGATTATCAAATCCTCTGCAAGTTTTGATGTCTGTCCTTGTTCTCAGTGACAGAGAAGTTAAAGGGAGGATGTTACACATTGCTCTTTGGAGAGGAGTACAGTCATACCTCATGTTACGTTTGCTTCATGATACATTTTTTCAGGTTGTGTCCTGCAGTGACCCGGAAGTACCGGAAAGGGTTACTTCCGGGTTTCGCCGCTCGCACATGCGCAGACGCGGCAAATTGCGACCCGCGCGTGCGTAGACACGCCACTGCGGGTTGTGTTCTATTCATGTTGCAAACAGGCCTCTGGAACGGATCCTGTTCGCAACCAGAGGTACCACTGTATTCCTCCTTCTAACAGCAAACTTTGATGGTGAGTGCCGCTGGGATTTTGCAGCCAAAATGGGGCCATTAAGAAACAAGAGAGAGGCCAAGGCATGCTTGCGGGGGGGGGGGGGAGGGAATTCAAGGTTTACAGAAGAGCAGTGAAGTGTGTAACGTTATGCATGCATATTATTGAGAAAGTGGGCAGAGAGAAGTTTTAGCTCAGGGATATCTGATGAAGCTGAATATCTGAAGAGTCAGAACAGACAAAAGGAATATTTATTCACACAGGGCCTAGTTAAACTGTGGAATTTGTACTCACAGGAGGCAGTAATGGCAACAACTTGGATGGTTTAGAAGAGGATTAGACAAATTTATGGAGAATAAGGCTATCCATGGCTGCTGGCCAGTGCTCTGCCTCCATTGTCAGAGGTAGTATCCTTCTGAATAGTGGGGTGCAGGTGGCACTGTGGTCTAAACCTCTTGGGCTTGCCAATCAGAAGGTCAGCAGTTCGAATCCCTGCGATGGGGTGAGCTCCCGTTGCTCTGTCCCAGCTCCTGCCAACCTAGCAGTTCGAAAGCATGCCAATGCCAGTAGATAAAGTAGATAGGTACCGCTGCAGCAGGCAGGTAAATGACATTTCCATGTGCTCTGGTTTCTGTCACGGTGTTCCGTTGTGCCAGAAGCGGTTCAGTCATCCTGGCCACATGACCCAGAAAGCTGTCTGTGGACAAACCGTTAACTCCCTCCTACTAACACATTTAAAAAACCATAGAGTGACATGGGAACTGAGGCCATTGTCTCTGAACTGGATCTTGTGCCAATGAGACATTGCCAATTTGCACCTGCAGCTCAAACATGAAACAAAAAACTGCATTGTATCTCATCTCAATAGCTGTGTTGTTTCATTGAACCCAAAGATCTCCCACCACACTGAAAAGAGCTGGTCAGTTAAATATTTGCCAATAATCCAACCTTGAATGACAATAGTTACCACTGCTGGGGGGGGGCATGTCCAATATTGAATTTTAGCGGGTATTTAAGTGCCATTTTAAAATATAGGTTAGATTGCTGTAAATATGTGGGGCAGCCTCTGAAGATGTTTCGGAAACTTCGGCTGGTAAAGAATTTGGCAGCCAGGTTGCTCACCAGGACATATGATCCTTGGATGAAGGGGGGGGGGATATATAAATATAATAAATAAATGAAATATATTGCTTTTGTCATGTCAAGATTGTGCTTATTTAAGCAGATGGATGGGAAAGGTGAGAAATTCCCAGAGCTCTGTTACTTTTCACAGGGAGCTTTGTCCAGTTCAAACTTTTTCCTCCATGTGATATTTATGGCAGCTTTTCCTGGAAAGCAATTGTTTTCAGTCCATAAAGCCTGGGCCACATGCTTTCTCTCAACATTGATTTGGCTCCTGCCCAGTGTGTGGCTGATAGAAAAACCATTCTGTGGGTGTGCCCCATGTAAGCAAATTAAGTCTGATTCTGTGTGTGCTTTCTCAAAAATTAATCCCACTCACTAGCTATAGAAGGTTGGAGTTGAAGTTGGTAATGAGGCTGACAGCTAAGAAGCAAAATATAATGGGCTAATACAATATGGAGGGACGCGGGTGGTGCTGTGGGTTAAGCCACAGAGCCTAGGACTTGCCGATCAGAAGGTCGGTGGTTCAAATCCCCGCGACGGGGTGAGCGCCCGTTGTTCGGTCCCTGCTTCTGCCAACCTAGCAGTTCGAAAGCACATCAAAGTGCAAGTAGATAAATAGGTACCGCTCCGGCGGGAAGGTAAACGGTGTTTCCATGCTCTGGTTCGCCAGAAGCGGCTTAGTCATGCTGGCCACATGACCCGGAAGCTGTCTGCGGACAAATGCCGGCTCCCTCGGCCAATAAAGCGAGATGAGCGCTGCAACCCCAGAGTCGGTCACGACTGGACCTAATAGTCAGGGGTCCCTTTACCCTTTACCTAATACAATATGAGATTAAATATGGTCCTGGGCAGCATGTTTAATGTTATTTCTGAAAGCTTTGGGATGGCATCTGCCAAGCTCCTGTGGTCTGCAGCCTTCATTTGTTGCGTTGGGACTTGGACAGAATGATTCCAGGATTTGAATAGCCTGTTACAGTGATATAGTTGCCACCTGAAAGCCAAAACCTTATTTGAGTGTGTTGAGTCATTTAAATGTATGCAGACTATTGACTAAGATTGAGGCCAAGCTAAAAACTAGCGCTCGACCTTGAACTTGGCCTGGAATCTTTTGAATGAGCATAGCTCCGTCAGTAGAGCATGAGATTTTAAATCTCAGGGTCGCAGGTTTGAGCACCATGCTGGGGAAAAGATTCCTGCATTGTAGGGGGTTGGACTAGAATGGCTGTCACGGTCCCTGATTCTTTGAATGTGCATTGCATGCTCTGAGAATCACCTGTGGCCCCTCGACAGCATGCACCACCAGTGGGAAAACGCAAATGGCAGCAGTTCCCAACATATGCACGCAACAGAATGGGTGTGTGAAATCTTTGAAAAGTGCACTGGGTCTGCCATAAGGGCAGGGCTGGGGCAACATTAGAAACGGCCCTAAGCAGCATTATTCTTTAAAGTCACTTTAATGAATAAGATTGATTTCCAGGGCTTTTGTACTTTACGGGGAATGAACGAAATCTCTTAAGCCCTTATTTTTGGCATGGAGCAGTTTGGAGACTGTGCAGCTGATGACAATGGGGAAAAAAGAACTATGGTAAAGTTCAAGAATCCTTTGTTCTTGGAATTGCTGTTGGTCAGCAAAATTCTTGAACGAAAGGGAAGCAGTGAGGGGAGCAATTTGGTAATGTTTACAGGCTCTGTGTAGCCTCTGCGGAATGATTTGATGGATTTCAGGTGGTTGGGAGTTTTTAAAGCAAACAAACTCACAGCTCATCATCTTATGTGTGTGTATGTCTTTCCCCACCCCAGGTGAAGAGTGAAGGCCCGAAACTTGTCCCCTTCTTCAAAGCCACTTGCGTCTATTTCGTCCTCTGGCTGCCCACCTCCAGCCCCTCTTGGTTCAGTGCCCTCATCAAGTGTCTGCCCATCTTCTGCTTGTGGGTTTTCCTGCTGGCGCACGGGATCAATTTCCTGACAGCCCATCGCAGTGCCTGCAGAATCCTTGCTGGTTTGATATTCTCATCCATTGGAGATGCTTTCCTCATCTGGCAAGAGCAAGGCTACTTCGTTCACGGTCAGTGGGGCACCAGTGTGTGGGTCTGGGCAACTAAGCTTCTGGAGCACGTGTCATGTACTGTCAATGATGAAGTGTGGAAGTAATACAGATGTCTGCCCATGTGTGCTCCTGCACTGGAGCTTTAGCACATAACTGTAAATGCAGGAATCAGCGCCAAAAAAGTCTGTCATTTCTCTTGTTGGGGTTAGGTGGCTGAAGTAATATAGCCATGATCTTCATACACTATGAGGCAAATTTACACATCTTTGCTGGTGCAACCCAGTCAGATGGGCGGGGAATAATAATAATAATAATAATAATAATAATAATATATTTTAAAAGATATTTTAACACACATATAGGGCTGGCTGGCTATCTATCTGTCTATATTTCAATACCTCAGTGTACAATAATTATTTCTTTTCATGAATATTATTAATATGCTGATTTAAATTTCTCTCCTGCCCTTCCTCTCAAAGGAGCCCAGGATGGCAAACACCAAAATATAAACACAAAGCAATTAAAAATAAAATAAAAGCACATGTAGAATGTTTAAAACCATCTAAAAACATTAAGAACATCTAAAGATAATCGCACACCCTCACAGCTAATTATTTCAAGGTTGCCAGGATCAGCGTCTTTTAGCTATCAAATGCCTGGAATGTTTTAATTTCCCCCTGAATGTTGTTAATGAGGTGACAGATGCACCTCATCAGGAAGTGCATTGCACAAATGGCAAGCCACCACCAAGAAGGCCCTGTCATGGGTCAATATGTTCCACACTTCTTAGACATTTAGCCTGTTTTATTTGATTCTCTCATGCAACCCATTACTCTGAATAATGGCAACATGCCTTAGGCTGAGCAATAGTTTAATGAAGGTCATACAACAGATTTACAGATCTACAAATGGTGTGCACAGAGGGCCAGTCTAGACATTGCTGAAGTTCCAGGGCAGCCCCTAAAAATGACATTCAAGTCTCGTTCTCCCCCTCTCCTTATACTGTTTAATAAAAGTCATTGCCGATGCAACATAATCACAGTGAGTTTTGCCACATGCTCTGATGCTGGAGGGGAATTTATTTATTTGTGTGTTTATTACAATTAAATACCATATTTTCTCCAGGAAGTTCAAGGTGCTATGCTTGATTCTCCCTCCCATTCTGTTCTCATCTCTGTGAGGTAGGTGAAGCTGAGAGATGGTGACGGGGTCACCCTGTGAGTTTCGTGACTTAGTGAGGATTTGAACCTGGTTCTTCCTGGTTCTAGTCCAACATTCTAATCACTAAACCAGGAAATTCTTAGTCTGGTGATAATCTCTGGTGAGTTTCACTAGAGATTATGGAGTAGGGAAGAAGAGCTACAAAGAAGTAGATTATCTCATTCTGTCCAGAGACAACATTGGTGATGATGGTCCAATCATACTATATTTTTTAAAATCAAAGCCATTGCCTGCCTCCAGCCTAGTGTATAAACCCATGCCTCTAAATCTAGATTAGCACATTTAGCTTTTTGCAAATGGAGGAACCACACCTTTAAAAGCAGCATTAGTGAAACTTGGACAGTGTGGATGTATTGGACGGGGAGAAATTTATTGCCAGAAAAATAAAAAAGCCACATAGGTTCCTTTGTGCCCCTGAAGAAGCAGGAGCTACCTTCTGTTTGACTCCACCTGTTTCCTCCTGCAAGCTTCCTTTGAAAGGAGATGGATTGTGACATGTAGCCTGAGGCACAGCATGATTCAGAGAACAAGGGAAGGAGATCCTTTCTGTACTCTTGACAGAGGCACACTTCTTCACCTTGTAGGCAGAGGAGCGAGATGAGATAAGCAGGTGGTCTTTGGGGCTTTGGCTGCCGTAGATGTGCTGAAACAGAGCACAGGGTTGACTGTCATGGGAAGAGAGAGTGATTTGGCAAGCTGTGCCGAGGCTGGGAAGGGAGCACAAGTCCTAAGAAGTCACATGCTTCTGTCTAAGGGGAGCCATCATCTGTGGCTTAATTTGCAGAGGGAAGAAATCTTCCTGCCAATTAAGCCTTTCCGCTTTTTTAATAAAAAGGTATATGGCTCCCATCAGCTTCAGGGCCTTGTGTCCATGTTTTGGGCATTTATTTCACCTGCCCCCGAGTTTTCTGTAACCACTTCTCTCTGATCTGATGATCTTAAAATGACTTGCAGATAGCTGCTGCTGCAGAAGCAGCTCACACCAGAAAATGTAGGGAGAGCAGATGGCCTTTTCCTGTCAGAAGTGAAAGCTTTTTCACCCTGCACGTATTCTCCCAGAAAGTCTATCCATTGCTTGTCTCCATGTATGCCAGTGTTGACATTCACATTTTGTCTCTCCCCCCCCCCTTTCTGTAGGTTTGCTGATGTTTGCCATCACGCACATCTTGTATTCTTCTGCATTTGGGATGAAGCCTCTAGATCTGAAAGCTGGCCTGGTGATGACTTTGGTGTCCAGTTTCTCCTACACTTTCCTGTACTCCTACCTCTCGGGCCCCTTCACCTACCTAGTAGCCGTCTACACTGCCTTGATTGGCTTCATGGGCTGGCGGGCCATGGCCGGCGTGCAGCTGTGCAATGACCTGTGGACTTGGACCAAGCTCTCGGCTTGCATTGGCTCGGTGCTCTTCATGGTGTCCGACCTGACCATCGCCGTCAACAAGTTCTGCTTCCCTGTGCCCTACTCGCGGGTCATCATCATGGCCACGTACTATGCAGCTCAGATGCTCATTGCACTTTCTGCGGTGGAAAGCAGGGAGGAAGACATCTTCAGGAAGAGGAAGTAGACGGGGGTGCCAGCAGGCGCTCAAACTCTGCTGGGAGTGCTGTAACTGCAATTCATCCCGGAGGAGAGTTTTGACTCTAGGTGAACCGGTGACTGCAGATCTTGCTTCATCGAAGCATTATCCTTAGTGTTTAGCTGGCTCTTCTCCAGTCCAGTTTGCTGGAGCCTAGAAGCCACACTGGAAGTTTAGTTCACACAGAACCAACTATCTGACCTTTTCCTCTCTCTCTCTCTCTTTTTTGCATCTTGGAAGTTTCATGGGAGGGAGGGCCTCTCTAACTACTTCATTGTGTTTGTATAATACTGGAGCTGAGGCTGAACATTCCAGAAGGAGAAGATTCGTTTCAGGACAACGTTTCAAAAGAAGGAAAGGGTAGGCAGTGCATTGGCGTTTAAGAGCCTTGCCTTCAACACTCTGAATGTGCAAAAGTCATGTGAAAATGACCCTTGGTGCTGCCTGACCAAGCCCCGCTTTGCATACATTGCAGTACAACTGTGAAACAATTGTGTGTCTACACAAGGAACCCCCAGGGCCCAAACGCTACAACAGGACACGGGAGCACTTTGTGGGAGTTTATGTCGGTCGTAAAGCTTGGGCTGCCCCTGGGAGAAACCAGTCTGAAGTCCAGATTCGTTACAACCATTTTATTTATGGGCCATTCAAAGCCTTTCTTCTGAATGTGAATCCTGCAGGGCCCATGTTGTTCTGCAGGCTTAAAAGCAACAACAAAATGCAACAATTTTCTCAGGCTTGGGTGGGTGGGTGGGAGGGAACACAGGAAATGAAAAGATTGCTGTACGTGTGCGTGTGAAACGCAGATAACGGTATATGGTTCGTCAGTTTTTCTAGCAATTTCTAGCTTGCATAATCTCAGATTAGAGCACCAAACAGGAGAACATTGTGAGCTCTCTCAAAATCTAACTCACCAGCTGCTTCATTGGCTGAATATTTTGGCCAAGGAAACCACCGGCTCGTCAGACCTGCTGTCATAGCTACACGACGGGTCTGGGAAAGACTTGGATTAGTGATGATGCGTGGAGCCAGCTTCTTCTCCCAGCCTCCACTCCAGAGTCTGGACAAAATCCCATGTATTGAAAGAGGAAGAATCGGCAGGGTTATATCCTGCGCATGCAGGTGGTCTGGTCACTGTGAACAAGCGCTGTGTGGCGGATCCCTGACAGGCATTAGCAAGTCATTGTTTCTATACAGTGGACGATCAGGGAACAATATTTATTTGAAACTAAGCCAATGGGCTTCCGTGTGTTTGCGCATGTGTAATGTGCCTGTTTCCGTGTACATGTTGCACAATAAGAATTGTGTTACTTTCCCACCAACTGTCACCAGGACTGTAGAATCTGCAGGTGCCTTCAGACCAACAGCTGCAGTTTCGGGTCTTGCCGAGAGGTACAGCCTATCACCAAAGTGCTGAGAGACCAATCAATGTGCCACTCTCCTCTCATCCATCTTCACTGGGCAGCACTGAGTCACTGTAGATCCAACTGGCAGGGAAGTGCAGTGGGGAAAAGTTATGTGTCAGCAGCTTCCTTGCTGTTTTGTTTCGGTGTCAAGTTGCAAAATGGGTTAGCTTGGCCTGCACTGCAGCGATTGGTGTGAAGACTCCTGGTTGTGTGTGCCCACCTAATTGTTTGTGGGGACTTTGAGGGATACATCGTACTTACTGACCGCAATGTATTTTTCTTCGTACAAGCTAGTAAGTGGAGGTCATGGGTAGAGCAATCCTGCAGAGGTTGGAGGAGGGAGAATCTGTGTCAAAGGAGCCACCACTTTCAAAGCCCTGCTGGGTTCTTACCTATATTCTTTTTCCTGGCCCATTTCCTTTTGTGAAGAGGGAGGAGGGGGGGGGTTGCAGCCTCTCAGCTGCCTTTCCTAGGAGCTTAAGTGTTGATTTACTTTGAGTCTTTACAGTTAGAACATACAGCATTCCTTTAGGTTCCCTCTACTGTGTTCTTTCAGTAGAATTCTGCCCTTGCTTGCAAAATTACCTGTTCAGATAAGTACCTTTCCCCTTACTTTGCTTATCTGTGTTGTTGTTGTTTTTAAAAAAAAACTATGAAGAGCATCCTTAGTCATTCTTAAACAGTGGCATCTTGCCAGAGGTGCACCACATATTCGAGATAGATCGCACACACCTACACCCGGTTAATATCCCAAGATAAAACTTCCACACACACATTCTGTCATTCAGAAATGAACTACAGCGTACGCTGTTCCTCAGACTCTAGCTCTGGGGTGCTCTCTCAATTCCCCTAATCCCACTGTGCTGGGCACTTCGGCCTCTGATGATTCCTACAATTGCTGGAGAAAGGGCCATAGCTCTGTGGTCTCAGGCTTAATCCCCAACACATCTTCAGGTGGGGCTGGGAAGGACCCTTGTTTGAAACCCTGGAGAGAGCTGCTGCTCCTTGTCAATGCAGACAGTGCTGAGCTGGCCAACTGGTCTGACTCAGGATGAGGCCTCTTCCTCTGCTCCTATGGCTGACATCTTGTAATGGGCATTTCCTTATTACAAGCATTATTATTACAAAGTAATAATTATTACAAAGTACCTACCTTTCCCCAGGGATACTTCCAACACGTTGAATTGTTTGCTACTGGCTCAGTCATTAAGGTAGAAGCTGCTCATGTGACTTTCTGTAATAGTCAGTTCTGGCAACATCCAATCAGTGGAGGAAACTCTGTGTTACAAAAGTATTGTTGGTCTTATAGCACTTGAACCATTGTGGCTTCTCCCAACGAATGCCACGTTCACCATATGTTGCGTAATCTTATACACCTTTATCATGTGTCTCCCCCACCACTCCCTTACTCGCCTAAAAAGCCCCAAATGTTGCAACCTTTCCTTACAGAGGAGTTGCTCCAACTCTTTGATCCTTTTGGTTGCCCCTTTCTGAACCTTCTTCAGCACTCCGGTGAGGTGAGGTGAGGTGACCAGAACTGTACACAGGGGGTTTGGGGTCCCATGAATCAACATACCCACAGAATCCCCACTTTTCAGCCCAAAGGCGGAAGCAGAAGCAGCAAAACAATGCTGGCAGGGCAGTTACACTTGCAGAGCCCCAGTGGAGAGAGTCCTGCCCTCTGGACGACCAGTGGCGTAGCATGGGGGGTGCAGGGGGGGCCGGCCGCACCGGGCGCAACATTTGGGGGTTAGGGTTAGGGGGCGCAAATCCACGGGTTAGGGGGCGCAAATTACTTGCCTTGCCCTGGGTGCTGACAACCCACGCTACACCACTGTGGACGACCCTCCCAGGGAGCAGAATGGCAGCTGGGCTGCTACTTATGGCGCCTCAGCCAACCGAATGCTGGCTGTATGCCAGCTGTTGGATTGCACCCTGCGCTGATTACGTCCAGGATTTAGTTGATTAAGTTTTATGTGTGGATGCAGGCTAACACGTGGAATATTTTGTTTTAGGGCAGCATGTTGGGGCAAGCTTCATCAGGAGGCTACTTTGCAATGTTGTACATTTTATAAAACCGTAACTCTGTTCATGGGAGGAGGATGATGATGATGATGATGACGACGTACCTGACCCAAGGAGGATTACTTGGCTGACCAATTCCATTTGGAATTGGGGTTCTGCTGTCTGAGCCTGGTAAGGCACATAGTTTGAATTAACTTTTTCATATGCGGCCTATGAATTTTGGCTTCCCTTGTGCTATTTATGTGAACAGCTAGTTATTGTTAAGGCAGATATAAAAGAGGAGGAGAGCATTTGAAATGTGAATGAGTATTCTGACCAAATGCAGGAATTGCTTTTATGAATGAAACAAGGAGAACTTTATGCCACAGGCGTGAATAAAACATCTGGGTAGGCAATTTGAGTCTGATGCATTCTCCACAACAAGATGCTGTCTTGAGCTCTATCTGTTGGTCGTCTGCAATCCACTATGCCTCTCTTCAATTCAGCACCATGCTTATTTTATGTAACTTAGAGTCATAGAGTTGGAAGGGACCACAAGGATCATCATAGAGTTGGAAGGGACCACAAGGATCATCATAGAGTTGGAAGGGACCACAAGAATTCCTCTTAGCAGTATGAGTAACAGCAATCCTCTCTAGCCTTGATCAGCAGGACTCGAGAGACAGCGGTTTGTTTCAGACTGGCTCTGAAACCACAGAGGCAAGAAAGAAGATTCTGAGTGTAAACACTCTGCTTTGCTCCTGCCCCATGTGCTGCTACATTCTGATGAATGGAACACAGGGTCTTTCCAGAGTGAGGCATTGTGGGAAAGGCGCCTTTGAAAAGGGCCCGCACCACTACTGCTTTGTTGCAGCATACAGTTTCAGACTTGAGCAGTATAGTACTTTTAAGCTTTAGACAATATCTGCTGTGGCAAAGGAGCTGCAGCAGGGCTAGCCTGCCCATCAGCCTCAGCGAGGCAGTCACCTCAGGTGGCAAGCAGGGAACAGCTGGGAGGCCCCCAAGGAGCATGCCACCTGCTGCCTCCTGCACTTCTTGTCTGTGGCTGCCACCTGGGAAGAGGGGGGCCACTGCTGCTGCCACCTGCTCCTCTGTTACCTTCAGTGCACCAAGGCTTCCCTGGGCCACCTCCTGTCACCTGAGGCGGCGGGGGTTGTGGGTGGCAGAGGAGACGGGAGGCACCATTTTCTATTTTGCCTCAAGCGACAAAATGTCTTGGGCTGACAATCCCCCAAATCACCTCATCTTGAATGCCTTGATCTAAGGAAGGCAGCTTCCGCAGAGTGAGGCATTCTAGCATGGGCAACACTGGAGGAGCAGCGCTGAGCATTTTGCTGAAGCAACCGAGTGGCAGGGGCACTTCAAGCGGACAAAGGAGGAGGGTGGGCAGGTGGGCAAGAGTGCACAATTCCCTCACCCTTTGCATTTTGCCACCTGAGGCAGAAGTCTCAGAGTGGCTAACTGGTGGAGCGGCCCTGTGAGGAAGGCTCTTGAGACAAGGGATGGCTGGAAAGTTCTCAGCCTCATTCCATTCCATTCTATTCAGGCTGAGGACTTTTCAGGGTGCCCATTGTAAATGGGCAACCAATGAGCCTTAAAGTCATTGTTAAAAGCCCCTTGGCTGTTTGCTGGCTAGTGCCATCCGCTTCTTTATCCAGACGCTAAGCAGATTTCATACCCGTCGCTTTCCTTGCATTCACTGGTGAAGAGGCTTTTCCTCCTCTTAGAGCAGCCAGACACCCTTAACTTCACTTTGATGGGTGTCTTTTGTTTAGAGAAGAACCAGAATAGAACAGATGGCCTCTTTTTTTTCTTTTCATTTCAGGACACCACAATTTCACAGGCCTTGAAAAGTGCCTCCACCACCTCCTCTTCACATTCTGAAATGGCAGCCAGAAAGGATCCTTGTGATAGATAGCTATCTACAATGTAGGTGTGTGTGTATGCCATATATATATACAGTGGTACCTCAGGTTACAAACACCTCGGGTTACAGACGCTTCAGGTTAGACTCCGCTATCCCACAAGTAGTACCTCGGGTTAAGAACTTTACCTCAGGATGAGGTAAAGGTGCGGTGGCAGCGGGAGGCCCCATTAGCTAAAGTGGTACCTCAGGTTAAAAACAGTTTCAGGTTAAGAACGGACCTCTGGAACAAATTAAGTTTGTAACCAGAGGTACCACTGTACACACATGTTGGCTTTAAATAGTCACTGTGTATATATAAATACTGCCTCCAGTCTTTAGGAATGTCCTGCTGCTGTTAAGACCACAATCAGAAAGAATTTGTTTTATTTCTGTTTGCATTTATGATTGTTTACATTCCTTGAAACATTGGTTAAAAAGAAAGAAAGAAAAGAAAGCAAGCCTGGGAAGAAATAATGGTAAAACAGGAAAACATGGATAGCATTTTTAGGTATGCTACATTAAAATGGGATACAGGACGATATGTGCAGAAAACTTAAATGTATTCGTATTGGAAACAGCTGCTCTTGAGTCCTAGAGCTAGAGGAGGCATTGGAGATCACATGTCCAAAGTCCACTTCAGGGGCCTAATTCGGCCCACTGGCTGGTTTAATTCCCTGTGGCAGTTTATTGTTTATTTCTATTTCCTGGGATAAAATCCTAAAAAAAACCTCAACAACTTCAATCCTAAAAAAAGCTCAGCAACTTTGGTTTGCCCTTTGGTCGGCCCTTCACTTCATCAAATCTAGCCCTCTTTGAAAAAAGTTTGGACACCACTGATTGCAGGATCTGCAGGGCAGGGCACAATTACAGTGTCACTGACAGATGGCTATCCAGATTCTGGATACTTAAATACTCCTCCCAAGCTAGATTGTTCCATTCTTAAACAGCTCTTACCATTAAGCTTCTCCTAATATTTCCTACAATCTGCTATAAGTCTAGACAGGCATTTGCAATGCATTATATTTCATTAAATTAAAAATTAAAAAATATATGCAGAATATTAAAAATGTACCGAACTTTTAATTAGAGAAAGGATATGTCTAGGAGCAGAATTATATTTTTTGTGATGTTATAACTCCTGTGACTTTACTATCTGTTGAATTTTTGCCTGTTGTGTTGCTGTCAAAAGGCACCAGGAGCCCTGAGAGGGCAGAACAAAGGGAGTGATCCAAAAAACCAACATCAAAACACTTGGGGAAACTTGGGCAGTGGTATTGGGAAGCTCTGGTGGTCTTGAAAGAAAGATTTGGTTTAAAATAACACAGGTATAATCTCTTGCCTTTAATGCTGTTGCATAATATTATCAGCATTTCATTCATGAGGGAAATTGTGTCTGGCTAGGGTGAAAGAGCAGGAAGGGGATTTAATCAGTTGGCATCTTCATTCATTCAGCCTGCTTAACTTCTAGCCCCACCATGAACCTGCTGCCCTAGAGAATCGCAGGCTGTGACCTGCAATTCTGTGCCTGCACTTTTTGCAAACTTTCCCCTACTTTGCAATATCTAGTTTGGAAGATATATTAACATGTGCTGTTTTGCAGGGTAGGGAGGAATGTAGGAAGATCACTAAAACATTATTTTTTAAAAATTGTAATGTTTTTATTAGTTTTCAATTACAGTCCAATAACAGCCTCATTATAACAATACTGATTTATAATACAATAATTAATACCAATCATTCAAATACTGAATTATGTAATTTAGTTAATGTGCCCCCCCCCGCATGCTAGATTTGATGGTTTCATGGTTTTCTTTATTTCTGCGTTCCAAAATCATCTTAGTTTCAATTGCATTCCTGTCATAATAATAATCCCTTATACAACAACTGCAATATTAGTGACCTATTTGTGTCGACACATTAAATGATTTATAAAACTGCAAGTGAGGAACTCAAACTATATCCTTGTTCTTCCTGTGGCAATCATTCTGTCTATGGTGTTTCTTCTTGTCCTTGTAAGATGTCTTTCTTTCCCCCAATTGTTGCTGTTATCCGTCATGCCTTGAGCAGAGCTGATATCCCATTGTTGTTCCAGAAATTTCTGCATCGCTTTGTCCCGTGCTTTGTTGTTTTGCATCCAGAACTTTAACAACAGCTGCAGAAGTCGCTTTGTCTCAGTAAATAAACTGTTGTCACCATTTTTCTTCTCAACCTGGGAAGAAGATTGATCTGTCGAACTGCAGATGACTCAGTAAAGAACCTTATCAGTTCCTTGGCAGTTCACAGACTCCTTTCATCCTTCCTTCCAGCTGAAGATATACTTCTAATTAAATTAAATTCCTAGTTCTCTTAGCGTTATTCAGCTTACTTCGTAAATAATAAAGGATGGGGAAGAGTCAGCTCTAACCATCCATCATAAACCTTTTGCAAAATAGAGCTTCCCTCCCTTTTCCCCTTTTTTACACACACAGTTCCGTTTGATGTTATATTCTATATTTATAATCCTATTTCTTCTATACTTGCTTGTACAAATATATTTTGAACTAACATTCAGAGGAGGGTTGCCGAATCATAAATGTGGAGAAGAAAACTTTAAATAAAGAAACCGTAGGCTCCCTTCCCC